CTCCCTCCTTCTCCCTCCCTCCCTCCCTCCCTCCCTCCTTCTCCCTCCCTCTCTCCAGTAATGCTGGAGAAATCAGACAAACATGGGATCACTATATTGTCTGATGTCCCAAGCAGTAACTTCTCTTCTATTGAAAAATCTATTTGTAGGTAGCACACCCTTCCTCCTTTAAATTACCAGAAAACCTCTTCTCAACTTTGTGCATTACTCTTCTAAGAGCCCTGTCCCAGATGGAATGATACAGAAGACCCTGCACACGGCACAGCACTGCTTTCCTGACAGATGCTGACACAGCTTAAGGGCACCCTTAAGAATCTGGGCAATCATGAAATGCAGAGAGAAAGAAGTTAGCATGGAGTGAATCTCTGCCTTCCACATGTGCACACATCAAGGCCAACTGTAGTGATACTTTCACTCTCCCCACATCACCAGGTACTTGTAGGATCAGCCCAACACCCGGCTGCACAGACACCTCTGTGTTCTGAAGGATACCCAGTAAATTGTTTATTATATTACTCTCACAGTTGAATCATATGTCTAGTTATACCCCTGTGGCCTGCCTACATTGCTAACCAAAATGCTTTAACAGGAAAGAACCACAATTGGGCCTATCATCGTATCTTTGAACCACCCCCTCTTTTCAGTAATGATGTAATAATTTGGGGGTATAGCTACTCAGCACTATTTGCAAATTGTATTTGTAAAGATTTTTATCAATATCTTGATAAAATGGCATTTCTTTCATATTTTCTGGCTGCTGTAAGAAAATAAAATGAAGTTAATTTAGTAAAATCTTTTCACTAAACCATTTTGACCAGGTGCAGTGGAGTATGCCTTTAATGTTGGCAGAGGGAGGCAGATCTCTTTGAGTTTCAGGCCAGCCAGGTTTATATAATGTGACTCTGACTTAAAAAAAAAAAAAAAAAAAGTTACACAAGAGAAACCCTGTCTGAAAAACCAAAAAATAAAAAACAAAAACTAATAATCAAACGGATTCTGATTTCTAAGCCTTCCCCCCACCAAATGCTTCAAATTACCCTCCCATCAACCCTACTATGAAACCTTAAGTATCCATGTTAAGCAGTTTACCTTTTCTAGTCCAGTATCTACCTTATTATCTACAGTACTTAGATTTCTGAGTAGTTCAACATCTCATATGCAATAAGGAACCCACAAATGTAATTTTTTTGGACCAAGGGGAAATCATTTAACAGCAGGACTAATTCTATTATAATCTGTTTACATACACTACCTTTCAGTCCCATCTCATTAACATTCCAAGTGATTCTCACTGACAAGAATAAAAAGCTGACACTAGGGTTTTTGAGTGTGTCACCTGGTGGTTTTATACCCATGAACCTAAATGGCCAGTCTTCTTTGGGTTCTGGTTAGACTCAAGTGTTTTTATTTTTTTGTTTTGTTTTGTTTTGTTTTTTCGAGCCAGGGTTTCTCTGTGGCTTTGGAGGCTGCCCTGGAACTAGCTCTTATAGACCAGGCTGGTCTCGAACTCACAGAGATCCGCCTGCCTCTGCCTCCCAAGTGCTGGGATTAAAGGTGTGCATCACCAACGCCCGGCTAGACTCAAGTTTTAACACTCTTAGAAACTCTTAGTTTATCCATTTTGAAATTATGATTTTAAAATTTAAATTCAGATCACCTTCTTTCTTCTGCAAGTAACAGGTGTCTAAGAAAGGGGTAATAGCTAAAGTGCAAGGGTTTCATTTTGAGGTGATGAAATACTCTAAAATGAACTATAGTTATGGTCATATATATCCATGATTAAACTAAAAGAACATGGAATTTTAACCTTAAAAGAGTAAACTGCACAGTATGTAAATTCTATTACAATAATGCTGTCTTTACACAAGAGAGGCAGGAACAAAACAGAAAGCTGCTGAGTCGAAAACCCTTCCTTTTCAGAAGATGCACTCACTGTGGTGAGGAGCCAATGACAATGGACCTACACCCACCCACCTGCCTATCAATGCTTATTTGCTTCTGGTTCAGATGCCCCATGTCCTATCTCTTCTTGTTCTCAGAGCCAATTCCCAGTGTTTACACATGACCAGGGCTCCCCCCAACAGAACCAAGTAGGCTCTTCTTGGATACCACAAACTCTTCCCAGCCACAATCCACATCTCTTCCCTTATTCA